CTGCTCAAAACTCGCGTTTGAATCATCAGTGGCAAATTCTTTAAATATAAAAAATGTACTTGCAGGCTGTGAGTCAGAAGCGCCAGACTGTCCTTGCAAAGTTGGAACTGCCCCACTTTATAGAAACAGCCTTTGTGCCACAGACGCATTGTTAGGCTACTGGTTCAGGATACAGTCCTCATCCTCCATAAATATCTTCTTTATGCACCAAGAGCTTGTAACACTCCAAAGAGAAAGGAAAAATTGAAATCGCATCATATGACCTCTTGAAATGAATGAGTCTGTTTGATCCTATTTGATCTTGGTCTGCAGGATTAACATGACCTTCACTGGCTCAACGCCAATTACCACATGAATCTGTCTTTTTTTTATAGCGGGATGCGACAATCTCATGCTCTTCCTCTGGGTTATGACAACACCTGCTGGAAATCATTGATTAGTCAGCACTAAAGTTTATAGTTAGGCTATATTTTATCTCCGGTGCAACCAGATTAACTTTAAAGCACTCTCAGCCTTTTCTTTCACATAGTTATGGCATTTATCCTGTGCCAGTGCTGAATGATGTGTACTGATATCACAAAGGTTCATGGGATCACAGCACACCGATATGGCACTAGGGCTGCATGATTAATCAAAATAAAACCAAAATTACAACATGGCTTAGTGCGGTTATCAAATCACAAATGCTGTGATTTATAAAAAAAAATAAAAAAATGAGCTGAGTGTTTCAGAGTGAAGCACGGCACTGTGTTTTTACACATGAGCTGCTCATTATCCAGCGGTGTTTTCAGTGTCTCAAAGCAACTCGGTTCTCAGTAAATTCTGCTCCACACAAACTCCATCTCTGCTTTTACTCTTGAGTTTGGGTCGTTTAAACGTGCATTCTGGAAAGCAACATGTGCCAACCATCGTCCCATACTAAAGAGAAGCGTTTGTCAACAAAAGAGAAGCTTTAAGGGATCCCTGTGGTTTTCCGTCAAAATAAAAGTTTGATGGTGCAACGTTTGTAAATGAGGAAATTAAGACAGCCATTATTATTAGTAATTTGTAAAATAAAATTATTAGTTTTTAATTTTACTTTGAAATATACATTTTTTAATACTCAGAATATTTCTTGTCTTT